TGGTTAGACGTTCCCCCTTGGGCTCCAACAGACTCTAGAATCGACGCTGGCCATAGACTATGGTCATGTAGAATAAGGTACTAATAAGCGCTCAATAATGACTCATCAGCAGCCGTACGCTACTAATTAGTATGCTAATAATCAACTATAGTTAATGGTGAATATTGTGAACTTGATTTAAAGTGTTTCCAGGAAATTCATCTCAGTTTGTGTCTTCCTCCTGAAGCTTCAGCTCTCATCTTTTTGACTTTTATTAGTGACAGATGAAAACACTCGTTTAATTATTCCTATTTCATATGAATCAATTCCACTGCCTTAATTAGCACCCTTTCCAGGTTTGGTGACAAAAATAATTATTGCACCAATAAGATCCGCTAAGAGATTCAATCATCGTTATTTCCTTTGGTTCAGCCCAACACAAGTCTTTTCAGAATTACAAAAACATTGTGAAACACATCATCAAGTGGAAAGCAGATTTATGTAATTACCAAGAGTGAATACAAAAACCCTCTCTGGCAGAGATAATGAGCATCACCAGCACACATAATCATCGATAATTACACCAATCTGGCTCAAAGGATGTGATGTGTGGTAGTTTTGGTATTAGAGAGAAGGAGAGAAATAACAAGACTGAAAAGACTCTGAATATAGCTGCTGAATATATCAGGAACTGAGAAGAAAAATAAAGAAGGAGATGAGAAACAAACTAGATTTTGACTGAAACTCAACTGGCCATCTACATTTTGAAATATTGAATGTGAGAGTTACATAATTATAAGAACCTGCTGATTTGTGGTGTTAAAGGCTTTCACCTTATATACTAATACCATAAACCATAACCAATAAAATATGCCCCCCCCCCCCCCTTCATGGTTTAAGCCAAAAGTCCAAAACACATGTTGACAGGAAACAGAGTATGGCTGTATAACGGCTTTGGAACATCAGTCCTCAATGTAACAAGTTACACATCATTTTTCACCTCATAAAGATATGAATAATCCCTAATTTGGAAGGTTTTTTAATCCGCCTCACTAGCTAAAGTAAGTTATGACTTGTTAAAGAGTAGCACCCTGCGCAAATACGAGAGGCAGTCAGAGAAAAATTCTGCATAAATGTAACTTTGAATTGCAACCTGGGGACAAATAAAGTTCTTTGAATTGAATTAACTGAGGTTTCCTTAGACTGTCAGAGTGATCAAGAAATAATACCCCTGATCTCTTGGATTATAAATTATGCATAATTATTCCCATTTTTTCCACCCCAGAAGGACCCCTTTATCCCCACCTTAGCCCCTTCACAAATGTGTCTTGCATGACGCCCCTGATTACAGTTGCTCCTGTTAATATTAGACTGATCAGTCTAGTGCCATACTTACTTGTTACTGCTTATAACTATCTTATGCACTGTTGTTGTTGCTCTGTTTGTCTCTATCTGACTTTATGAACATAGAAACACTTGTTGTAATTGTTGTACCTGTTCTACGCTGTGATTCCAAAACTTGTTTTAATCAAATCTAAGGCATCTACAGTCTCTTTAAGAGTCTATCTGAGGCTTTGTCTCTATATTTCTTCCTGCATCTCCCTCTATCCCACTTTCCAAGCCCATCACAAAATGAGTCTGGTTCTGCTCGAGGTTTCTGCCTCTTAAATCACGTTTATTCCTCACTGTAACTTTTCTAAATGTTGCTTAGTGCTCATGATGGATTAATGTTGGGTCTTTGTAGATGATATAACAAAGAGTTTGGTATTGTACCTTTTGGGAAGAGTCTTGAGATAACATTTGTTATGAATTGGATTTTCACCCTGATATTGACATCATGATACTGACAGTGATATTGCCATCAGTGTGAGTAGTATTCAGATGCTTTATGCAAAAGTACCAATACAATAATGTTACAACATTCAAAGTATTACCAGCAAATTGAAGTACAAAAAGGAAAGTATTAGTGCTTACTCTGCAGAAATACTGGCCTCTGTGGCCTCTAAATGTGCCATCTTTACTGACACATAAACATTGTAGCTTCACTACTGTTCCTCAGTTTTGTTCAGTAGTTTCCAAAAACCTCTGCAGGGTCATTAGATATATCTGCTAAAACAAATCTGTGAGCATTTTTTGACCATCTTTTCTTATCTTTTTTAAATATTTAAGAAATTGTGAAATCACACTTATTTTGACTCTACTCAGTCTCTTAAATGAAACCATCTGGACAGTTTGGAGGGAAAATCCCTCCAAGCACAACAGCTCGAAGACATCTGAAACACATCACAGGGCCCCGGATAGTCACAGCTCTTTGTAAACAGGCCTTCTGTTAAACAATGCATTTGTATGAGCTTATCCTCAGCTCTCAATTTCTTAATTTCAAGAAAGACATTCGGACGTTCGATATGTTTTAAGATTTAAACAAGGTGCTGATAAACTCAACTAAGTTGATCCAAAGTGCTGAGCAGCGCAGAAAAAAAAGGCTTAAGATAGTAACAGACAAGAACAACAACAATCAAAATGAAAGAACAGGTAACAATTATCTCCAGTGTAACACAAAACTTTCAGAGCTCTGCCTCACTAAGCGTGACGGGTTATTGGAAATTGAAGGCAATTGAGTAGAAATGTGTTTTAAGGTGAGTCTTAAAAACACCAATAGTGGGTGAGAGACGGAGGTTGTGAGGTAGAGAATTCCACAATTTGGGTCCAGCAGTGTGTTTTCAGATGCTGTGAAGATGTCTTTGTTTGAAGCGTGTTGTAGTGTTGTAGTCAAGTCCACACAAACCGAGACCAAGACATACTCGAGACCAGAGTGTACCCTTGGCACCCTAACAGAAAGGTACCAAAAAAGTAGGACGGTACGGATCCCTTAGTTTGGTGCCATTCCCAACTTTTGACTGTGGAAACGCCAATAAATGGGTACCATACCGAACCAAACTGAACCGGATTGCTTGGTGGAAACGGGGCTCAAGACATTTAGGGATCGAGACCGAGTCAAAACCATAAAGACCAAGGCAGGGCGAGACTGAGACAAGACCAAGACAATAATATCACTGAAAAATCATCATCTTGTGTGCAGCGGGCGTGTGACTCATTTAGACCGTAACACCGGGGGATAAAAATCAAACTACAAATTAATTGAAGTGATTTCTTCTTTTAGAAAGAGGTATTTTCCTTCTAATCAAAGTAATGAAGTGAGAAAATATCCTTTCAGTGGTGGTCTTGATTTTAAATCCCAAGTCTGCCCAGTCTGAGACAGAGACAAGACCGAGTAAAAATGATGTCCAAACCAGTCTTGGTCTTTTGAGTACCGTAGAGTATTGTACACCTTTCCAAACTGCACACAGAAAAGAAAGCGAGTATGCAGTGACAGGCAGCTTATATTGACGCTTTGAGAATATTACTGAAGAGACCTTGAAGGAGCGATACAAGTGAGATGTTTTTATCTACATCATTAATACTCTCCAAGCTGCATTAAGAAACCGACTTAACACCTCTGAGAATCAAATCATCTTGGCCAACATCAGATACAGTACTGTTCATTATGTTAGCAGTCCCAGTTACGGAGACATTGGTCCAGACGCCTCTTGTTAAATGATCATAGTTATTTATGTTTTTAATGTGTAGGTGTGTATATGTACATTTTATACTGTATATCCTGTTTGTGTATCGTGTTGACTTTTAACTGCCAGCTACGCTCTTTGCCAATGAAAGGCGTCTGATCTAACATTCACAAAAAGATCCCAGTCTCTAGCTAGACTCTCCTCCTCTGGCGCCCCCCGGTGGTGGAACGAATTACCAAACTCCATTCGATCCGCGGAGTCCCTTTGCACCTTTAAGAAAAAGCTAAAGACCCAGCTCTCTTTCATGAACACCTACGCACCTAAAGATGATGACGATAACAATGATGATGGTTTTGTTTGATAATAACGATATTTAGGATGGTTTTGATGCTGATTAGAACAGCTGTCGATGTTGTTATTTGCCTCTGGTCACTTCAGACATGTTGCTGCAGGAGCTGGGGATTGAACCCGAGACGACGACTCTACCAACAGAGCCATGCACAGCCGCCCCTTGCACACAATTGTAAACCTGAGTGTTTTAAATGCGCTATATAAATAAAACAGTTATCATTATTACACTCGTTTTATTTTTGTAGGCTGCTCTCTGTTCGGTCTGACTGATGACGTTTAGTGTGTTATTATCCTGAGACATGCCTTTGCATTTGTAAACATCTGTTTAACAGACTGATACAACTCTGCTGTCACAAGGACAGATACAAGAAATCTTTCTTACCGAAGGCCATAACTCTGTACAACAGCTCACCTCATGCGAGCAGAGAACTGTCATCATGATAATATCTGTCTCACCTTACTGTAATCTGTTCTGCACATGTTAAATTTACAAATTATCCCTGCACTCATGTTCACTTCATTTGTCTGTCTACTCGTTTCTGCACTCATGCACTTTAACTTATGTCAATACTGTCCATTTACAACTCTGTTCTTGCACATTTACATTTAATCTTTCATATTTAAGACTAGTAATGCTAAATTAAATCCTGGTTGTATATATTCACATTCTTAGTTTTGATATTTTTAGTGCTTAAGATAAGATAAGATAATCCTTTATTTATCCCACAATGGGGAAATTTACAATACAAATTTTTTTAAATTTAAAATTTTTAAAATTGATTTACTTTGTATTTAATATTATATTGCGTTTAGATTTGCTAAAATTGTGTTTTTTACTCATATTGTGTGTTTGGATAACCTGCTAACGCTACAATTTCCCAGTTTGGGATCAATAAAGTCATTCTATTCTATTTTAAAGGCGCTATAAAAAATAAAGTTATTCTGATTATTCTGATTACAAAAGAAGAAGTGTAATTGCAGAAGCAATATCCTCATTAATAAACTCCCCTTCTTGTTCCTTTCTGTTGAATGCCAAACCCCTGGCTTTAACTTGTTTGTCATATTAAAGCATTAAGAGGAGAGAAAGAGAAATGATTAAGAGAGGAATCCCAGGCATATGGCTGGCTTTTGTCGGCTCCCCTCCCCCTCCCTTCCTTCCCTCCTGCCGTCCGCTCCGCAGCAGCAGCAGCAGCAGCAGCAGGACAGAGGTAGTTCAGTTTTTGAAGCCGTGGCATGAATGATCTCATCTGAACCTGATCTCCGCTTTCCCTGCCGTCGATCCTATGACCGAGACGGGAATAAAATAACACAAACACGAGGTGAGTACGGCTCCACACAGCCACCCCCGGTGATACGTCGTTTTTAACCCGGTACACTTGTGACCGTGTGTTGTTGTGTTTTGTTTTTTAAGGAAGTTAAAACAGCTCGGCCGCGGAGAAAACTCTTGTTTTTGGCTAGAAAAGGAGGAAGGACCGCGGAGGATGTGTGGGTGGGCGCTTTGGGCTGATTAGCTTCACGCTACCTAGCATTCACATTGTTTTTTTTAAATCAATAACACGAACAAGGCAAAAAGATAGCTGAGGTTAGATGTGTTCCGGGCGTTTTAAACATCCACCGTGGTGTCGGTTTTGTCCGTTTCACCGAACACGTTAGCGCCGTTAGCTCAGAAAGCGTTAAAGCTAGTAGCATAGCTAGCCGGCTAGCTGTTAGCTACTAGCGCAAAATGGCCTCATTGTCGCTCGGTAGTTTCTGATGCTGTAAAGACAAAGCATGCGGCAGTGACGGCGGAGAGGCTCCACACGCTCTCTGGAGCTGCCAAACCGACCTTTTATTTTATCACGGATAATAGTGAGAAAAGTGTGTTTTTTTTACAAGGGGACAGGGGAACATAACGCCGCCGTGCTGTTCGGTTATTTGTTAATTTAGTGAGACGGGCTGTGGAAGTGCTGGTTTTCAGAGAGGTGTGGGGGATGGGTCATGTTAGGAGCCATTGACGTAAAGCGAGGCTGCATTTTGTTTGGCTTCTGGCTCCTAGCATAAAACAAAAACAACAAGCTCACTTTGGTTCTGATGTTTCTCTAACGCAGCTCTATGTGGCCTACTTTTGATTTCCACATTGGTAAATAACCTCCCATTAAACACACGTCGTTTATTGCACTTGATTACTCATTTCCTGGAACCCACCAGACAAGTTTTTGATCATCATATGTGTCAGCCTTTTCTTGTTAAATCTTGTCAAAATTGCATGACTAAATCAAATACTATTAGACCTGATCACAGACCAGGGCTGCACGATGTGGTCAAAAACTCATATTGCCATTATTTTTGTCAGATATTGCGATTGTTATGTGTTTCATGATGACATTTTGCATCCCTATAAACTATTAAAATCCTGATGTTGTGACGTTTGTTGGGGTCTACCAAGCAAACATGTTTGTTTGTTTTTTTACACCTGGAGAAAGTTTGCAGGGGTCATAATGCTGTTTCATGACACATTTCTATCTTTATCAAATAATTGCAGCGTCCAGTATTTTTGATATTGCACTCGCATGTTGCGATTTTGATTATTTTGCGATTAATTATGCAGCCCTCATGCAATAACGTTTTTGTCAGATATTGCGATTGTTATATGTTTTATAATCACATTTTGCATCCCTATAAACTATTAAAATCCTGATGTTGTGATTTGTTGGGGTCTGCACTAGGGCTGGGTAATATATCGAGTTTTTAAGATATATCGATATATTTTCAAACAAGATATAGAGTAAGACAATATCGTTAATATGGTTATAGTTTATGTTGCATTAAAATAATGTTACAGAGGTGCCAGGTCACCTTTTCCTCATCTCACTGATGATGACTGACTGTCTGTCCCTCTTCACCCTGCTCCTCCTCTCTCTCTCTTTTATTGTATTCACGGAACATTTTTATTTTATAATATTACTTTTTAAATTCATAAACAGGTAGTTTATTTTTTTCATGTGTTTTAACTGTTATTAAAATACATTTCGAGTATCGCCATTCAGCTCATCAATATCAAGATATGAGTTTTGGACCATATCGCCCAGCCCTAGTCTGCACCAAGCAAACATGATTTTTACACCTGGAGAAAATTTGTAGGGGTCATAATGCTGTTTCATGACACATTTTTACCTTTATCAAATTATTTCAGCGTCCAGCAATTTTGATATTGCACTCACATGCGATTTTGATTATTTTGCGATTAATTATGCAGCCCTCATGCAATAACGTTTTTGTCACATTGGCAAATATACTCCTGTCACTTCAATTCAGCATCGAAAGCAGACCAAATGTCTTAAAATCAATACTAATCTATAACGCTATTAGCAAATTCAATGTTGGGAGCAGTTGTAGAATTGCACCTTAACAATGCAAATTGAAGATGATGTTCTCAAAGTATTATCTTTACTCTGTTGTGTTTGGTGTTATTATGAGTTAATGCTATTGTGTAGAATCAGTTTTTATTTAAAAGCTTGCAGGAAATGTCTGTAAATGTCTTGAAAGAATGATTGTAAACCAATTTAATTAAGAAAAACACATGCCATATGTATTTGTAAATTGCTTACAATACAACACAATGCTTCATATTTTATCTGCTTTAGTTGCAAAATCAGACTTATCAAGATACAAGCCACTTCATTCAGACACTTCAGATTTAACTCTAAAATGCTGAACAATAAGGTGATCAAAACTTTAGATTTCTCAGACCAAAACTGTCATGTACAAACTGTTTAATTGAATTCACTGCAGTGTGCTTTCTCTCAGGTTGTAGGTCTTCCTTGCTATATCTAATTTTCTATTTTTATTTTTTACACACTGTTGTCGTTTTTCCTTTAAGGAGCTAGCTCTCTCTAGTGTCTCTTGTTTAACAGGGGCCAGCAAACATGCACTACACAAGAAGACAACATATGTCTATGATTGTTTTCTCACTGTCTTGTATTTTAGATCTCCAGGCACCTTCATAAATGACTTTTTTTCCGACCCTGTCCACTGTTTGGAAATGTTTCTTTCTGTATCCAAGCCACAAAGACCCAAAGCCTCCTCGGCCATTCAGTGTACATTAGATCCTCTTTTTTTGTATGGGTTACAACCTCTAAAGACACGATGCTGATCTGATCAATCAGGTATTGGTAGTAGTTGTAATCTAATCATTCTCTTTGATTTGATGTCAGGTTTTCATTGGTGTGACGAAGCACAGTACCTCCCTCTTTTTAAAAGGTGATGTAAAGGAAGCCTGGCAATCAATTGTTAATTAGTCATCAGTCAATTTATTGATTGAATGTTTGCTTACATGTTGATTGAATGTAAATTGCTGAATTATTTAGTGTTTTTGTCATCCAAGATTTTGGCTGTAACATCTTACACAACACCCCCAAGTTCAACATGTGTTAATTGAATGTAATTTGCATCGATTATAGGGCTTAAGTTTTGCCTGGGACGATGGCGGTGACAACTTAAAGGAAAGAAGTTCTGTTTTCAAGATGCTGAAATGAATTGTAACTAACAAGAAAGATGTTAACGACTCTTTGCTGTGTGAATTATTTTTGTACACCTCAATCCTGCTTTTACTGTCCCAACATATACCGGTCCCTTTACACTGTACTCCTGGTTTTACTTTTTGTGATTCAAAAAAAAAAGGGCCCCAAATGCAGATTGAAAGCAGGTGGAATTATTCACCCAAACACCCTGCCCCAGGTTTTAACAGAGAGGAGACACAGCCAGACACTGCAGACTATTTTTCTGTCTGATGGAAAATTAAATGCCACAGGCTGCTGTTCAGTGCTCAGCCTCCTATTTATGTGTATCCCATCTATTTTGGGGAAGTCAGAGGGACTTTAATGTTGGCAGGAGTGTTGTTTTGTTCCTGTAAGACATCTGTGTGTTCCACTCGGTGTGTAATGAGGAAGTTGACTTTACCTTTCTCCCCCCCCTCCCTTCTCTCAGTGAACAGAAAGTGAAAATCTTGTTCTACTAGTTTTTGAAGCGTGTCGTGTGTAGAACTGGAAACCTGACCTCCCTTGTAAATATTAGTGGTTCATGGTGGTATATTTTGTATTGTGAATATTGTAAATGCTGTCATTTTCTATACTCTTGTTCTCACGTTTACCCCTTAAACGCACCCTTTATTGATTAGGATATTTTCTTGATCACAGGTTGCAGTGGGGAAGAATACGAGTGCACTGATCATGTAACTTGAGTGCTGTTTTTCTTTTTTGTTTCCTGACAAAGGTCTCTCTAGTCTGTGCTTACTTTGATACAGCGTCGGCTTTTAGTTGGTAACCATGCTATTTTCGGTGGCTCAGTGGTCTGTTAAAAGTGTGGTTGTTCCGCCCAGCAGGAGTCTTGCTTCAGACTGGCCTAAAATGGGCAGAAATGGTGCTGAACAAAAGCTGCTTGTCGCTCGTACAAAAGTACTTGAAGCGTTGCAGCCCGGACCAAGCTGCATTGCTATTGCCTGTGCCTCTCAACAGGAAAGGTATAGCAAACTTTAAGAAAAAACTACAACAAACAATTCACTGTTTACTGTAGTTCATGAAGACGTTAAACCTGTAGAGCTAATAGTTACAGTCACAGCTGCTGTTGAGCAGAACTTAGCCTTAACTACAGATGTCCATACACACATACTACACCACATAGCTTCATTACATCACGTACACATCATTAATTACATGACACTTACTCTTTCACTATCTTAGCTAGTGGAATCCAGAACAGTAGGCATCATGTGTGTTTGTCTGTGTGATTAATTAGTTATTGTCAAATTTAAGTGGTGCTTTCAGACGTCTAACTGTCTTTCTTTCTCCTCGCCGCCACCACAGAGAGACAACATGTTCCCGAAGGGCACCAAGCGCAAGTTCTCAGATTCCGGGGAGGAGCCAGTCAATGGCGGTGACCAGGTCCCTGCAGCTTCATCTGCAGTGGCTCGGACGCTGTCGTCGTCCTACAGCCTGCAGAGGCAGTCTCTTCTTGACATGTCGCTGATCAAGTTGCAGCTCTGCCACATGCTGGTGGAGCCGAACCTGTGCCGCTCGGTGCTCATCGCTAACACGGTGCGGCAGATCCAGGAGGAGATGACCCAGGATGGCACCTGGCAGATAATGACCCAGGCCCTGGCAGCCGCCCAATGTCCTGCAGACCGCCTGGTGGCCACAGAGGTGCTGTGCCGGCAGACAGACCCAGCAGCTCAGGCCAGCCAAAGTCCGAAGCCCTTCTCAGTGGTCGGTCTGGAAGAGGGCTACCACACTGAGGAGGTGGTGATGGACGGAGAAGGGGAGACAGAGGTAACCATGTCCACTTTGTCGCCAGTTTCTCCGCAGCTGTCCTCCGCTTCTTACCTGGCAGGACCCTTCGGCATGGGACCCTGCTGGGAGGACGAAGAGGACGATGGTGACTGCGAGGAGGACGAGGAGGAGGACAGCGAGGAGTGTGTGTCTGAAGGAGAGGAGGCAGACCGGGACCACCTGAGTGCAGACTCCAGGACAGGGGAGCAGGTTTTTGGGACTTTCGAGATCAAGCACCCAGCGCCGCCCCCTGACCCTGCCCTCGAAGAACTTTTTTCAGACGTGGACCCCTCCTATTATGACCTCGATACGGTGCTGACAGGCATGCAGACGGCCCCAAAGATGGGCCCTTACGATCTGCTGGAGAGCCTTTCCTCTCACGGGCCAACAGCCCTGAGCTCCAGCACGAGCTGCAGGTCAGACCTGAATGAACTGGACCACATCATGGAGATCATAGTGGGATCCTGAAACTCAAAACATTCCTCTGGCCTGTACTGATCCCTCAGACTCTTTCCAGACTATGCACAGTACACGTGCATGTTCTGTTTGTGGTATTGTTGCACACGGAGATTGAAGGTTTTGGGACAAGGTGGGAAATTATCAGCACGCCGAGTAGATTTTGGGATTGGCAGTTAGGGGTATAGTTAGTCTGCTCTAACGGCCGCTTAGGCAAGTCGGCAGCTGCTGTCCGGACCTTCATCTTTTAAAATAATTGGCTGTTAAAGTTCTGAGGATGGAATCAATGAATTTTGGGATTGGTGAGCCTTCCTGGCTTGCAGGCAAAGCAGTTAATTTCCCACTTTGTGGTTGAAATCCCAAACCTGACAATATCAGTGAGAGGGCAAAGATAATTACCTATACCATGATGCATTCTTATTTACGTACTTTCCATGTTTACGTCTGTCATACATTCTGTCATACTAGCTCCTTCTGGACGTATTCGCTGCCATTTTGTCCATTTCTATTTATTATTACATGGACTGAGGAACAATTCATCACACTACACGCATCAGAAACCAGAACAAATTGTAAATCCAAATCTATGAATCAATGCATATTTTCCTAAAGATTTGAGCAATTATGAATGGAATATATGTATATGTACGTATGTGTATATAGAAATATATTTTTTGCATTATACAGCTGGGGGATTTTGCAAGTATCATTTGATATTATTATTAATTTTTGTCCCTCCCAAGCGGTTTTTAAGATTTTAATGTAGCCAGACTCGAGACAGTGTCTTCCCATGGTTTGGTATAAATAGTCGACTGTAACAGGTGTCAGGGCTGGCATCGTCACACTTTCTAGGCGCTGTTCTTTCATTTCTCAAAAGCTTTATGCAGGGCAGTGAAATTACTGACAACCACCGACCACACGTTGGTTTTAGATTTATCCCTCTCTGGTAAGTTTCACAGTATTTAGCGGACAAATCGGAGTAATTTCCCTGCCCTGCTTTTCATACAGATCTAATGACAATAACAGCTTTTTTCTAAAGCATTTGGTGAAACCACGGGGTGATAACTGCATCAAGAAGCCATATTTCTTTCTCTCATTTGTTCGAACTACAAATGAAGAATTCTGTGTGTTAACCCAACCTAATTTATTGTTTTATTTATTGTATTTATTATATCTAGGTACAGACATGCCATTTTGATTCATCAAATCAAACACAAGGCCCGATGAAATTACATCTCCAAATTTTGCCCTCCGTTTTGAATGCAGTACCTATTTATTCCTCACATTTTTTTTTTATTATTAGTAATAATAATATCCGGGTTACTATTCAAATCACTATGCAGCTCTGTCATACGTGTTTCAAAATGATTGTATACGACTCCAATGTCCTTTAATTCCTTTATGCAAACAGTTGCCTTTCTCCTAAAGATGTGGAAAATCAAATGCATTTTTCAAAATTGTTCCTTATCATGGTGATGAAGAGATTAACTCAGGCAAACAAAATGTATTGACAAAAATACAGTATTACGACACGCTGAATACCTTACCACAACACTCCTGAAGGATGTCACTCTGGTCTGAATGGGAGCTAGAACTTCAAAGACTAATTACCGTTGTAAAATGTATGCATTTTTTTATATTAAGGAAAAACATTGTAGCATCTTTGTAAATATTTTTTATAATAAAAGGTGCAACTATTGATTGTGTGGTGTGCTTTAATCTTTTTCCATGTAGGGGTGTTTTTCTTTTTTACAGCTTTACATCAGAAAACCTGCATTGACTTTTGGGTTTTGAAGCAACAACCTCCGGGATTGAAAAGTGGAGCCAATCCTGTGAATCCTGCAGATCATCGGGTGTCCACTTGAGGCTGGCTCCAAGAGCCTCAGAAGTCACATACGCACGCCATTCAAAAAAGCAGTTTTTACAGCAGGAATTCACACATTTACAGCCGGGTAGGAAAACTGATATTGGTCAAAATGCATGTTATCCATAGATAGGCGTGTATCTGGCCTGATTGACAGTTTGGAGGCTCATCGGCGGCAGTCACCATGCTGGAAAAACCGTCCAGCTTAACTTTCAGTCAACCAGGACTGGCTGAGAGCTGGAGCTGAGACGGGTTCTAAGCCTCCTGACACTGTTTCATCGCACCAGCTACGCGCCTTTTGTGAAAAACTTTTATCCCTCATGAAATCAAAACATGAGTTATTATAAACTTCATCCCCTGTACAGTGTGTGCCGATCGAGATGAGCTAATCAGACCTATTTCCTTTTTTTGAACCAGGCTGTAAACATGTTAATTTCTGCTATTGGCTTTCGAGAAAGGGGTGTGTATGTGACCTCTGGTGTTTCTGCAGGCAGCCTCATGTAGACACTTAACAACGCACTGCAGGATTTTTTAACTTAAGCATTGGCTTAATTTTTCAACACCAGAAGTTGTTGCTTGGGTATGAAATGCAGGAAAGGAGCCCCAGGCTGGACTTGAACCTGCCTGGGCCTCCCGCTTGGAGAAGGATAGCCTCTGTACATGGGGCAGGACCTAACCACTAGCCCATCTGCGTCATGAAAAGGAGATTTCTGATGTATGGAGGAGCAAGTTCATGTGAAACAAACAAGTAGAACTGATTATATAATCAGTTATGAGACAGTATGCTGTACTGTAAAGCTCCATCCCCTTGCAGCTCTGTTCCAAGGGTTAAAGTGCCACTGGAAAACGAGGGGTCGGGCAAAGTGGCAGAGGTAGGGAGTCTAAATATGCCACTTCAGACCAGCTACAGAGTCCAGGTACATCCTGATATTTGCTCAAGGACTCTGCTTAAGTAACTATTCATGATGTTTGTATGTGTGTAAGTGAGTACATTTCAAACTTTGTCATGATGTCAAAATGCTTTCAGTGAATTACATTTGACTGCTGCAACTCGTCTGCAGTATGACTTTGATGGTCACATCACATGCTCTCTCACATGATGAAGTTGGACAGGGACATTCTGTGTTAGATATGCAGAGAGAGTGACAATGTCTTCAACCAAACAAAAGTATGTTTCAGTTTAAGAACCTGCATGAAACCATCTCCTTCACAGCCTCTTTTTTTGTATTTTAACAGACAGCAGTTGAATCCAAATCTCTTGTTTGTAAAATTCAAGCTTACTCTGCATGTTGGCACGCTGCCTAGTCTTGGTTTGCCCATAGTTAAAGATTAATGGCCTCTCGATGGTGACTCAGCAAAAAAAGCAGCCTGAGGAAAAACTGAGAATCATCAGAGAAAGAGACTATTGTGTCTTAAAAAAGCAGCAACGGAGAAACACAGTCAACATGCTGCAGAAAATGCAGAGTGCGAGAGATGCACAAGAAGTCTGAAGTTTAAAACATTTTATGTTACAAGGAAATGTGTTTGCACTTCTGACATGTTGGGGACGGTTACTAACTTTGAATAAGACATGTTAAGCATACTGTTACTCTGTTGTGTTTGCTGCTGAACTGAGGACTGAGCTGCCTTGAAAGTCTGAACTGGAGAAGTTGATAAGAATAGGTCTCAAGTTGCCTTCAGGTGCTTCTCAAAAGCTTTAGATATGATGTGAAGATGCATATTATCTCTCAATACAAAGAAGTATTTAGGTATGGACAATTACTAAAAATAGCCCTTTTAAGTTCTGAGTTTGTCTAAAAGATTTAAAGTACAATGAAAACAGTTTACAACAAGAAAAGTGGAATATTTTACAACAAACTTCTTATCAAAGAATTGCTGCACACACAAAGGTTTCACCACATTAAATCAACGAGAGCTTTTTGTTTTTCTTCCTCGTGTCTGTTTCTGTTCTGCTTTGTCGTGTATAAATGAGCGCTTGAAAGCACAACATATGGAGTTTTCATAAATGTCACAAAAGCAAAAATGAAACAGTTTTTCTGTTTGCTGATCGTCTACTTTCTGTTTTAAAGAAGGAGACGAGGAAAGAAGAAGAAGTAGATGTGAAGCCGTGACAGTCTCAGCAGGAAGAGACTGAAAAGAAAAAAAACGTGAATGAAGAGTTTCCTTATTTGGTGTGCGCCTTCCACGTCTTTCCGGTCCCATCCAACCCACCCAACCCCCACCTCTTCCCTTCTGAGTCATCTGTCCCTTTAAAGTGCTGCGTTCAAGTGCTCACTGCAGCTTCCTAGGCACTTGAGACGATTCTGATATATTCCATATTGGTTGCGTAATATCTTCATGTATGAGTGGTGCTGTTGTTTATTCTACCTGAGCCAGCTGCTCTATTCAAACTCACATCATGTTCTGACAACTTTTTTAATCACAGTGTAATGAGAATCACTTTATACAAAGAGTCACAGAAGTATACTTACAATGTTGTTATAAAACATCCTAATTTATGTAACCTAGGGGGACAAAATGAGCTAATTCAGACCTCATGTTAATGGTGTTGGAGTCAAGTCTAGCAGAGAGTTACTTTAGACTTAACAGCCATTTTCACATATGCACATTTCAGGCAGGCTGTCCCTGACCTTTTCCTGACTTGCCTGTTCACACATGCACTTCACAGTGGAAGGCTATCCCTGTTGGATTGGAGGTGGGGGTCTCAGGATGTGAGACTTGACGTAAAAGAACGTTTTGGTAGTAACTGACCAAGCAATGCTATGATGACAATTTTTGCCTTTACATACAAGTTAATCAGTGATCCATGCAGCTCTCATTCACACTATCAACAGAAGAGCAGATAAGAACATAGTGGAGAACAGAAAACATAATAAAGCAGTGTCATTACATGCACGTGCAGTTTGCACCAGGTGCAAGCGTACGGTCTATAGTCGTCATCAGTTGTAGGACATAAACGTCGTCCCCTCCCACTCGCTCACATGGACTTTTCCTGATTACTCCCTGCTGCATTTTCACAGCTGCTCACCCTGCCTTCACGCGGAAAATTAACTCAGAGGCTGGCAGGTAAAATTCAGGTGAAGACAGAGTTATAGGTTGTGGCTGTTTGCGCTCACACATACAGTTCACCCAGTTTTGTGCATGTGTGAAAGAACAAAATACTACCAACCTTGACACACGCTACCTCACTGGATAGTATCAACGAAGGGAAAGGGGACACAGGCCGGACCAGGTCCCGGGCCGCCCGCCATCCTAGACGACTACAGCGTCTGTACATGGGGCTCAACTCAACCACTAGACCATCCGCGCCCCAGAAGTCTTATATTGGATTTATTATTTTGAATAGAAAATCCCTTACCCTTTACTCTTGCTCGGCATCACCACACAAAAAAAAAACAGAACCTGAGGAAGGTTAAGAGGAACCGAAATATTGTGATTTTTTTCCAATAAGTTGGTGATGCCAAGCAAGAGTAGTGTGCAGGATTGTTTATTTTCAAAGTGATAATCTTAAGTCCTATGCAACTACTTCATGAGATGTTTTGTTTTGTGCGTACACCTCCATTAAACCGTTGTCTCTTTATTAGAATAAATGCAAAGTGTAACCATCAAAATGCTTCTTTTTCCCCAGAGTTTCATCTCCCTCTTTTTCTTCTTTTCATTTCATTTTTCTTACTACACTTGAGTTTAAAGAAGGCTGTAAAACATCTACTTGTCTGTGAATATTTCACAACGTCTGATTTGAAACTCTTAATTCCATAAAGACTCTGAATGTGTCTTCAATCTCCGTTTTCCAGAACATAAAAGATGATTGTGTCAGTGCTATTATGTGCTGCATTTGACGGTTAGTACAAGATATTAACTCATATGCATTTATATGTTGTGCAAAGTTGTGTTTTTTTAAAATATAAAATCCGTAGTTGCAATGATCTTTATACCAGTTTCTCCGCTCACGTGTGCCCCGATGTTCTTTCTGATTTTTACGAGCCGCTCCTGAACGCACCTGCAGGAACAGACGTCCGCACATTCGCTGCCCCGTGAGAGGCGGAGGAGGGCGCATGATCAGCGGGCAAACGGACCAATCAAATCGGCCCCTTAGGTTCCACACGCTCCCCCTGTCTCTCGCCCTCCTCCACCTCCACCTCCACCTCCCCCCCCCCGCGGCTCCGCCTCCTCCTCCCCCCGCTCCTCGTCGCTGAGGACGGCCGGAACATTCCTCATATTCCTGGGTCTCGATAAGCGGAGGAACGCGGCGACGAAACGACGCGAGCCGAAGACACGACGGATTCAAACACCTCATGACTCTTTAGAAGGACACGGAAGGTACTTTTAAACCTCTTTTTATTCATTCGTTTGAAATTTAATCAAGTTTTACGCATTTTTAACTTGCTCTATGGGGGGCTAGTGCTACCCAGCTGAGGTCCGGGGACCATTAAAGGGGGTTAGGAGGTGTTCTTCGGGGTCCTGGGTAAAATAAGTAAGATGGAGGGATGTTGTTTACTTAATTTACTTTTAGAAACGGATAAAAAAAAGAGCTTTACTCATTATATTTGACTGTCTCCTGGCGTTTATATTCCTTTAAAAAAACCCAAGCAGCTATAAATGTCCCTTTCAGGGGTCAAACTCCAATGAAAGGGGGCTTCGTGTGGACCCATCTGTTATTCCAGAGACTATTATCTCATGCTAAAACTAGCCCCATGTCTGTGAAGGATGAGTAAAGTCTCACAGTCTGCAGGGGTGTCTCACACAGTGACTCATTACACTTTGTAATGTTCACTTTTTAAAAAAATGCACAAACTCAAATGTTAACCCTTTAAATTTGAGCCTGCAAGTGTGTTTTTCTGATGTTATGTGATCTGTTCTTGTGATGTGGATCGATTGAAAGTGAATGTGGGGAATTAGCCAGACTTGCTAGTTTGGTGAGGTTACATAAACTGGATGTAAGGTTTGTTAGCACAGGGCAGACGGTGCAGACTGATGTGGACATGAATGTTTCTGTTTCCTCTCAGATACTGTTCGAGATATTTTCCTGTTTTCTCCTGTTAGAAATATGACAGATATTTGTGTCTTAGTGCTGGAATGAAAGTTCAATTTATACATAATTAATTCAGAAGTCAGCAGCCTCTAGTTTGATTGTAATGAAGGGGGTTTAACCATTTTCTCTCCTTTATTTGGTTCCTCTTCTGACATATGAGGATATGTTTATACATATGGTATAGCACTCATAAATACACATTATTATAACACATACATTATGTTAAAATCATCATAGATTGGTGTATGTATAGGATACACTCAAACAGAAAGATAGATAGATAAATGAATATTAGGAAAATAATATGTCACCCCAGTGTCAGTTTGCTAAATTGTTGAGTTATTTTTTGACTTCAGATGTTAAGAATATTTCAATTTGAATCACTATTAAAGGTGAAGTTAGCCCGTCTGTCTTCAAGAGTTTGTTACCAACTCTTTTCAGTTTGACAAAGTTGCAAATGTCTAGAAAACTGAAGGCAACTTGAGTTGTTTTTTAGCCACATTAGATGGTTAAAAAAGAAATTATAGATATGTAATTATAGATATCGACAACAACGGGGTGCTGAATCCCAAATAAATGTCCAAAACCAGAAAAATGATAAGGACCGCACTCTGAAGTCTACTTTTGGGTGGCTATTTTGAGTGAAGAGTGAAGGCTATTGACTATTGAAGGCTATTTTGAAAAATGTAAATATATAAATATAAGCTGCATGACTCCCAAAATACAGTCAGAAAATCAGTGTTACTGGTGAAATCCTTTGTGAATGAAGTCTAACTGGTCACCTTGTAATCTCTCCATCCAGGCTGATGTTGGGTCGTGGTGTTAAGCGGAAGTGGAGCTGCCTGGAGGAGCTCGAGGTGGAGACCCTCCCTGCTTCTGCAGAGAAGAAGAATGGCGAGGAAGACCAGGAGGATAAGGACGACTTCCTCGTGGGTCCGTCCAAGTCCGACATGAGCCACCTGCAGCAGCGTCAGCGGGTGCTCGGCCTCTGCCTGGAGAAGCTGCAGCGCTACCAGGTGGGCGTGGAGCTCAGCCTGCGTCGCTCCGTGCTCCTCATCAACACGCTCAGGCAGATCCAGGAGGACATGCAGAGCGACGGGGTGGGCGCCTGCACATCGGGCGTTCTCCTCAACGGCGTCCACTCTAATTCCTGCATTCTCAGGGAGGACTTGCCGGTTACGTGCCCCGGGTGCGCAGAAGTAGAAGAAGACAACTTTTCTCCACAGCTGTCGTCTGAACTCCACGTTCAAGAGGCAAACAGCTCGCCTGACCAGCCTAAATCACTTCCGGCGGCGACCATCAATGCTTTCAGCGATGCAGTAAACGCCATGGGCTACCTCAGCGACCTCGCCCTGGACGACATCTTTGAGGACATTGACACATCAATGTATGAGACTTCAGACCTGCCCTCTGCCTGGGCGTCCGTCAGCGTGTCACTTTGGGCAGACGAGGACGTTAAAATGCGCTCTAGCAGTCACGCCTCAGCTGGGAGTCTCCAGTCGTGTCTGACGGACCTCAACGAGCTGGACCACATCATGGAAATTCTGGTAAAGTCCTGATCGCTGAGACGAACTCCTGAAACTTTTAGGTTAACTGAGGAGTCTGATCACAGCTGATGAGGACAGAGGACTGATCCGAGCGTGAATGAACTCTTGGATTTTTTTTGAGGTTCCATCAGATATATCAGGAAGTTTCATGTTGATTAAAACACCAACTTCTATGCAACTGCTTCAGAACTAAACATCTTACATTTTTAGTTAAGTTATGTCCACAAGTGTGTGCTTCTCATACAACCAAATTATTTACTTAAGCAAATTAAGTATGCATCCTAAAACTTAACTGAGATCATCAAACATGAAGGAAACTTACTTTTAAACACTTTCATACTGTTGAATATACTGAATATTATTGTTGACATTCAACAAAGATAACTGCACTCTGAACACAGAGAGAGACCAATTTCTGCATCCTCAGTAGCAGGAAACACATCTGATATCTCTGCAGCTCAAGGTCAGGTTGTGTTTTATGTCGTGGGTGAGTAATCTGTAGTAAAAGCAGACGAGACATGTCTCGGCAAAGTCAGAAAAAGATATAGTAGATTGCATTATTTAGTCAGGGAAGTGCAGTAACAAAGAGAACAGGAGGACTTCATTAACAGTGTTAAGAGTGTCTAAAGGTGAGTTTACCTTAAAGTGATGAGTCTATAAAAGCTCAGTGATGGAACCTCAAATTTCCAATCTCACATAATTTAAGTTTTGTAAATTATTAGTAAGAAGCATTAGCACCTCTGCGAGTGAATCACCCGCTCAGGAAGAACCTGAGCCGCTCGGCGTCACTCAGGCTGTTAGATCCGACCCGGGTTGATTATTAATTGAAATCTCTTCAATTACTTAAAGAGGGTGTGATTCAGCCAGCTGGGAGGGCAAAGGCCGGGGTTCCCTTTCAGTTTCTTATCGCTCCATGTAGGATATTTAAACGTATGGCTGTGGTAATGCAGCGTTGTATATTTATTTGTCTTGTGGAAGAATGTGTTTCTCTGAATTTGGGGAGTTTAACAGCCAAAGAAGTAAGCTTCCCATCCTTGTAGATGAAACGCCACATTCAGGTCCTATCTCAAGAAAGTGGGAAAAAATGGTTGACATCTTGTCCCGAACACTTTTATGTAATATTATTCTTATTTATGAATGAAAAAACCTACTACGAACCTGCAGCAGATATTACTTGTTCTCTTTGTGTACAGTCTTTTGTTTGGGGCGCGAGTGTAACTTATTATTCTGATTCTTTGCGACCTTGGACTCTCAGTGTATCAGCTGCCATTTCTACTGCTTTTTCGCTGACTCTGCTGACAAACTGTCAGCGCCTTTAGATGAAATATTCCCATCTTCTTCCTCCCTTATCGGCAGCTTGTATTTTCCGGTTAACGCGACATGTCTTCAATGCAGCATCAAACATGTATTTTAAATAGTATGTAAAGAATCTCTGGTCTCGACTGAGGAGCTGATCGCCTCAAGTCAACAATCAGAAAGACTTTTGCCATGTCTCAGAATTGTAAATGACAACAGAAGCCTATGTATTTTTACAGCCATCGTGATGGTTTGAACTTTTATTGCAATGTTGGGAGTTTTTAAAACGTTTTTTTTATGCGTTTGTACCTGAGACTCGAAATCACTTGTCCAGTAGAAGAGAAAACAGCGAGTGAAGGGCTGCGGCAGAGCTCATGCTCGACCTTCACAATCTGTGGTTTACTCCTGTTCTACCTCCTGACGTCTGTTTGTTGTCGGTGCAGTGGGATGGTTCTGTTTCACACCACCGACCGTCTTTTGATAGAAATCATGTCGTTTTGTTTCACTGAGCTAACTGGGCGGGAAAAAAACCACAACCCAACTGAATCCAACGCTCTCCTTTCAGACCAAAGTCAGCATCTCCATCTCTCTCGTCGACAATGTGCCTTACTACTGAACTGAACTTTTTATTCATGTTGAGGTTTTTGTGCTTGCCTGAGCTTCATTGATAAAACAAACCTTAAGAAAGGAGGCACGGTGTTATATAAAGCATTAAAAACCCTGAACCGTCATCTCTTCTTCCCTCTTCTTAGCCTTTTTTTCCTGCGCCTGGTGCACACTAGTAGCATATGAGCTTAATGTATCGTGACAGGCTGACAGCGAACTAGCTGAGGGAGGAGGTGGCAGCTAGGGCCAGGAGGGAAAAATAAGAGGAGGAGGAGGAGGAGGAGGAGGAGGAGGAGGGGTGGGAGGAAGCTGCTTGCGTCACTGTGCTCAGTAGGCGGGGTTTAGAGCTTGTTTTGCCCAGACTCTGACCACCGACCAATCACACGAGAAGTACGAGGAGCTAGATTGATGTGCGAGGAGCACACTGCTTCAACAACAACAACTTGTTTTTGCTCCTGATGGCTCTGCACAGAAAAACAGAGTGTGTGTGAAACTGTTGGATTTGAGCCTGAAACAAATCCACTTTCCTGTTGTGTGTGTGTTGTTGTTGTTGTTGTTGCCATTCACATAAACTTCCCAACAGGACTGAAAACAACAAAGCAGAGAGCTGCAGTGTTATTTATAATAGTATGAAAGTACAGAGTGTCAGTAGGGTTTGTAAAGCACAAGCTGTAATGTTGATGTTGATTATGATACAAATGAAGGATGAGTTTCCGCAGTAATGAGATGAAAGATGAATAATGTATTGTATTTTTTTGTGGAATATTTTATAGATTTTATTCAATAATACAGTAAAAATACCCTAACTTCTGTGTGTGACTCCTTATTGCATTGATTTACTGTAAAGCACACCTCATTATGCAACATCGCACAGACCTAAGACGTAAACATGACGCACAAGTTACAAAAAACACCAGCGAAAGAAACAAATTATTAAAGAGATATCAGCCTGAGAAACGTGCTGTGCTGCACGCCATGCATTTACAATGAGGTATTAGTCAATACACCACCGCCTGCATGAGGTTTATGGACTAGCACTGTGTTTTTTTTATCCCTGAGTCAGGCCTTCAAGGCTGCCTTTGCAGAGACTTCACCTTAATCATCTTTTTTTACTATCACTGCATAACTCAAACATGTATAAGTCTATTTTTTTAAGGCAGCTGGCATCAAAAATGTTGGATTAAAAGGCTCCATCGTCCTGACAAGACAACTCAAATTGACTCACTACTTTAGATTTTTTTTTTTAAGTAAAGGAAACTTCGTTCACATCCCTCACCACATCTGTGTGAACATCTGCAACCTTCAACATGTAGATGAGAGAGGTCGTGATCAGCAATGCATATCCTGAGAAGCTCAGCTCAGGGTAACAATGCCCGTCTCCTCTTTTCAAACACATGGCTGAAGAATCAAACAGCAGCCAAGACTGCCCTCTGGTGGTCATCTGACTGAACAGCAGATGCGCACTGATTGCAGGAATGACATTGCAAATTCAAAATGTTTGTGGGTGTTTGTTGATACTGAAGTCTGGTGTTTTTGCAGCTTCCTCATAAAAACCTGATCCTTGAGTCAGATCAGCTCCTCTAGTGTCTCTGATGTCAGAGGAACTGGAAACTTCCTCAGTCATGTAAAGGATTCAGTGAGAGGTCTTAATCTCACATTTCAGCCTCACTTCTTCTGCGGACACGTCTGCAGAAGTATGAGTCGATACTGTGGGCGAAAATGTATCCAAAGATCCTCTACTACTCTACACCACAACGGGAAAAAAATACTGCTTTACAGTAAAGGAGGAACGATGAGCCGTCTCTGCTCGAGTCTAAAACGCAGACATGATCAAATAACTGATGTGTGCACGTCAGCAGTATTAAAGAGTTATATTACAAACAGCAACTAATAAATTCAATTACATCTCCTCAGAGTTGGACTTGGTTACACACGGTAAAGAAGCGTGCCCAGGTCAATGTCAATAAAAACAACAAAAACTTCCCACATGGCCGTCTGGGATGAAATCTACAGAAACATGGCTCCATGGAACTTTTCTATCAAGTTGGTTTTCATATTTTTATTTTGATGTAGGCCTGCTTTGCTTCTAATTCTAAAGTAAAAATGTACTTTCTAATCTAGGTTTAATAGGTGCAATGAGACATTTCTGACGAGATAATTAAGCAAATAAACTTGCTAAGATTTGAGTTGTTGCAGTGCTCTCTCTATCATGATAAACATTTAAACAAACATGTTCTGATGGTGACATTATTCAATCATTGTTCTGTTATAATTTGCACTGCATCCTTCTTTGAACGGAGAGTGATTGCTCTACAGAGTGAACAAACAAACGGAGGTGGAGTTCCTGTAGATGTTGTTGTTGAAAGGAGCTGTGGTGCTGGAATCCAGGGAGTGGTCACACACGAGGAGGAGCAACACGTGCACTGCTGCACAAAACCCCACTGCTCCAGAACAACACATGCAGAGAGAGCTTATCTGACTGTACATCCACCATGTACCTACCTCCCTACCTACCTACCTCCCTCCCTACCTACCTACCTTCCTACCCCCCTACCTACCTTCCTACCCCCCTACCTACATATCCATCTACCTTCCTACCTACCTCCCTGCCTCCCTCCTTAACTACCTACCTACCTACCTAAATACCTACCCACCTCCCTCCCTACCTACCTTCCTCCCTCCCTACATACCTTCCTCCCTCCCTACCTACCTTCCTCCCTCCCTACCCACATTCCTTCCTCCCTCCCTTCCTCCCTCCCTACCTACCTTCCTCCCTCCCTACCCACATTCCTTCCTCCCTCCCTCCCTCCCTCCCACCTACCTACCCTCCTACCTACCTTCCTCCCTCCCTACCTACCCACCTCCCTCTCTCTCTCCCTCCCACCTACCTCCCTCCCTCCTTTCCTACCTCCCTAGCTACCTCCCCCCCTCCCTACCATCCTACCTGTCTATCCATCCTACCTCCCTCCCTTCCTCCCTCCCTCCCTCCCTCCCTATCTATCTACCTATGACACTGCACATTAGTCATGGTGAAGCTGAAGGTGTGGTACAGATGTATTAATGCATGGCTCTGCGGTGACTCAGACTGGGTTTAATGTTTCTGCAGGCAGACATCAGTCGGCTGCGGTGGATTGAAGCTGGGATCTTTGGCTCCGGCCACAGGCTGACTCAGCACAAACTCTCAGGACAAAAAAACCCTCTGCTGCTGCAAAACTATCAGATGGACTGACGGAAAGATACACCACCAAGCAGCACTCTGCGAGATGTAGACCCAACACAAACATGTTCTTAATTAACAGAAAGACAAGATAAAGGTGTCTATATGGGGCTAGATGTTTTTCTTAAAGGTTTATTTTTAGGCTTTTTGTGCATTTATTGTAGAGAGAGGACAGTGGATAGAGGCAGAAATCGAGAGACAGAGAGAGAGAGAGAGAGAGAGAGAGGGATGACATGCAGGAAAGGAGCTACAGGAACCGAACCCGGGCCGTCGGTGTGGAGGTCTGTAGCCTCCGTACATTGGGCGCTTGCACTATCCACTAGGCTACCTGCGACCCGGCTAGATGGTGTTTAAACAGCTCTGACAGAAATCGAGGTGTTAGACAGAACAAGAACTTGTGTCACAATTTTTCAAGTCTTTCACCAAACAGACTTCAGCTGCCCTTATGAACATCCACACAGGTTTTTCTTCTTCTTGCCACGATTCCAAGTCTTTTTTAAATTAAATTCAAGGCAACTACTGTCTTTTTTATCGGAGGCTAAATGAGGTATTTGTCCTGCATCTCCCTCCAGCCCACTTTCCAAGCCTGACACTCTCAGCTGAAGTCTGTTCATAATGAGTCTGGTTCTGCTCGAGGTTTCTGGTTTCTTTCACTTTAAGTTTCTTTTTTTGCCACTCTAACTTATAAGTGTTGCTGAGTGCTCATGATGGATGATATAACAATGAGTAAGGTCTTTTTCCTGCTCTTTTTGTGAAGTGTCTGCAGATAACATTTGTTATGAATTGGAGCCGTAAAAATAAACATTGATAGATAATATTTGGTGGTTATTCTCCAAAGTTAGTCTCTTTTTTTAAGTAGAAGATTCTCTATATTTCTGTTGGCAGTGTTTCCCTGTAAACCCTGAGCTGAAGGTGAGCAAAACAAAAAGAAAGAAGTTTGGACAAAAACGTTGAACGACCAGATAAATGTTTGAGCACATTCTTCCAGAGAACAAAAACTATGGATGCAAAAGTTTCTTAGACTGTTGGTTAAATAAACGCAAAGTGATGCAGTACAGCAGGAAACTACTGCTGTCATCTCAAACTGCCATCATGCAAAGTAGTCGTTGTTTTATTTTCTATGTTAGTGTTTTTATAACTCAACTATATTATTTCTTATTTTCAAATACATCAAAATGTTTAGTTTTTCGTCTTCTTTGGACAACAAGATTTGGTGTGGAAAAGTGAGAGCCTTAGCGCCCCACGCTGGTCCAGAATTGGTGTTTCATGCTCTTTTTTTAAATCTTGAAAAGTTGCACTAGTTTATCTCTAATTAGAAAGAGTTGCTTTAAATTTCTGGACATGAAAATTATCGAACAGAAACTTTAAAGAATCCCCTAAATCTGCTCCTGAATTATTCTCAGGAACATTTATTCTGATTTAAAGCCCAGTCCCCTTTACTAGCCTGGTGTGGCTGCACGTTTTGACAAATAAACACAGGTCTCATTTAAATGCCCTGGTGTATTTAGTGTTGATTAGCTTGCAGATTAAAAAACATATAATCAAGAGTGTCTCCCTCTCTCCCCCACAGCGCAGCAGGTTGGTATAGATGCTCTCTTACAAAGCTAGATCAAATTAAACATCTTTTATTTGTTTATCAATATCCTAATCGTGTACACAGTTCAATATTCTTTCTGGTTTGAATTTGAAAGTTGTCTATTGTCTAAGTGTAAGAAGAGATTTAAAAATACAGACAACAAGCCCCCAAAGAGAGACACTTGTTTGGTATTTTTGTCTCGGAAAGAATAAAATGATAAACTGATTGGGATCATCGTTTTGATAAGATTGGACATCTTTGTCATTTTTATTGATTGATTTATTGTTTGTATCATTCCCTACAAAGTTCTTATGTTCACCTTATACATGTTACTGTATTTTAAAGAGGTAATAGAAATGTGTTGACTTGATGGTGTAATAATGTGGTTTGAACTAGGGCTCGACCGATGTGAGATTTTCCGGGCCGATACCGCTATCGATATTAGAGATAATAAAAATCTGATACCGATATATTGGCCGATATCTTTCTTGGTTCTATGTTCGATCTGTAGAGATACACACACATATTTATTGCATTAATACCTCAAATGCAGTTATCTAACATGTGACAAGATGGACACTCTGCTGTTAGGCAACTGTGGAGGGCGATGATGCTCGTTGTAATCCATACAGCGCCCTCTGCTGGTGAAAGAGAATTGCTAGTGTAAAACAATGATGCTCAAATTAAATTATATTTGACTGCTGAATAAATCTATAAATATCAGCACACATGTGTGATGAAATTAGCTGATACTGATAGTCACTTGATGTGATGATGATCAGTCGGGCTCTAATTTGAACCCAATTCAAATATGCATGAAGAAAAACAACAACAACCTGTAAGACATTTACAGGACTTATCTGAAATCTTGTGACTCTCTGACTAATGTGTGACCTTTGACTTCTTAAAGTCAGACCTCGGAATGTGTCTGATGACCCCGGGGACAAATTCCTCTGATTATCTGTAAGTGATTTACAAGGTCGTCCAGACAGCGTGGAGATTCAAGTGCAGGTCCCAGA